TCTTCTGACTTTCACAGGCATTGCATGACACAGGTACACTTACATACATGGAGGCAATATTACTCATACACATAAAATGAAAATAATAAATAACGCCTTTAATCCCAGCACTTGGGAGGCAGAGGCAGGTGGATGTCTGTGAGTTCGAGGCCAGCCTGGTCCATCCAATTCCAAGACAGCTGAGGTTACAGGGAGACCCTGTCTCAAAAAGACCAGATATCCCAAAAAAGTAGGATGCACATAAAAGGTGAAGGAATTGCTCTAGGTCTAAGAGTTTTAGACAAATACGTAAAAACCATACTGTCATCATTACTTTTTATTACTGTGATAAAACACTGATCAAAAGCACCTTGGAGGAAACAGGGTATATTTTACTTTACAGTTCATCATGGCAGAGAGCCAGGCCAGGAGCTCAGGACAAAAACAATGGAGGAATGCTGCTTACTGACACATTTCTCTCACCTGTGCTCAGCCTGCTTTCTTTATAGTATTTATTATTTTTATTTATGTGTATGAGTGTATTGCCTGCATGTGTGTAAGTGCATCTATGTCATTCAGTGCCTGCAGAGGTCAGAAAAAGGCATTGGATTCTCCTGATACTGGAGTTAAAGATAGTTGTTAGGGGCCATGTGGGTGTTGGGAATAAAACCCAGGTTCTCTGCAAAAGCAACCAGTGCTCTTAACCTCTGAGCCATCCCTCCAGCTCCTCAGCCTCCTTTCTTATATAACCCAGTATCACCTGTCCAGGGGTGGCACCACCCACAGTGGGCTTACCCCTCCCATATCACTCAACAATCAAGAAACTGCCTCACAGACATGGCCACAGGCCAATCAGATAGAGGTAATTCCCCAGCTGAAGTTCCCTCTTCCCAGATATGTCAAGTTGACAACTGTAGCTATCAAGCATAGTTGACCCCTTGTCAACTTGACACACAAACACATCACTATTAACCATACCCTTTTCATTTCACATCTTCATGGTCTTAATATCACCTTGGGTTCTCTTCATGACACCCTCAATCCTGGGGTTTTTAT